CCGGGGTAGCGGGGCGCTGCCAGCAGCCTCCGCCCGAGCCCGGTAGGCCTGAGCCGCGAAGTTGTGCAGCCCAGAAGCGAGTGGGAGCCGGGAGCCCGCCTGTTCCGGGGCTGCCTCGGGCGGCACCACGGGGAGCATGTGGTGGTGTTTGTTGTCTTGCAGAGGTGCCTGGCCCTGGGGACATCCAGGCAGGGACAAGCTTGAGCCTGCACTTAACTACTGAGTTTATCTGCTCCTCTCCTCACACTCCACTTTTCTCCCCACGCCTCTGGCACCCTTTGAAAGGTCTGGCAGCACCCCTGGGTGCCTCGGCACCCCGGCTGAGAATCACTGGTCTGAAACCAGCCTTGGAAGCCTGTAGCACTGCTGGGTAGGACCCCTCTGCTGGACCAGCCTGGCTGGAAATGGTAACGGTGCTGATTAAAGTGTTTTGAAGTAACCTTTTTCTTTGTGTGGAAATGGCTTTTAAAATGGTAACTTGATTAGTTTTTAAAGCAGTAATCAAGTGTTAACTTAATTACTGTCAGGTTGAATGTAAAATGGCAGCTGTTCTAGGCACAAAAGTGAAATTGTTTCTGTGTTATTCCGTGCTGAATCTTCCTCCCCGCCTCCCTTTACGTTCTGGAGATGGTCTAGTGCCATCCCACCCCAGGTGATTGGGCGTTAATGCCCACAGAGAACATTCAGTTCCCTGAGACTTAAGCAGTCAGAGGGCACTCAAACATCTTAACTCATGACTGCTGGGTGTATGCACAATAAGGAAAGCGAGCTGCATTTCTCTTCCTGTTAGGCCAGATTTTCAGAAGTGCTAACCTGGCTTAAAACTCTTTGTCCCACTTTTTTTTCCTCAGAGGGGTCTTAGGTTTTAAATCACTTAATAGGAAGAACTTTCAAAGTGCTGCAACTGCTGTTATACTACTTACAAGATGCATCTACATGTTGAATTAATGCTACTAAATAAACTGGCACAGTTGTGCTGGAGTTTATTGCTCCCAAGCACAGCATTTACACATGTGCCTGGGACTGCCACATGTTGAGCTAGGGCAGCACAGCCCTGGCTAGCTCAGGGAGCCTGGAGGGTCAGCCTGCCAGCCTGGAGCTGCTTCAGCTCATGGTGCTGCAGACAGGATGGCTGGGACATGAGTGCTACAGTGCGGGGTTAGCTGGCAGGCAGCCCCCACACTGTAGCACCTTTGTGCCCCAGCCAACCCCAGTCACCATCTGCACATGCATTGTGGTAGAGTAAATAACTGCCACAGGGCAGTACTTATACTTACTTACTAACCTACAATGGAGTTAGTTAGTGTACTCCGGCCTAATAGCTTAATAGCTCCACCTATGTAGGTGGGGCTGATTTACTGCAGAGCGAATTAGGCAATATTGCAGTAAGCCGGTGGCGATGCATAGAGGGTGCATGTGCACCTCCTGAGAGTGCTGGTGTACCCCCTGTCAGCCAGTGTTCCTGGGGGTGGGGGGCAGCGGCGAGAGTGCTGGTACCCCCACTGAGAGCGATTTAGCGGGGAGTGTGCCAAGAGAAGCGGTCCCCCTGTGGCTGATCCTACCAACCTGGAAGTGCCAGCAGCAGGGAGACCTGCCCCCGCCTCCCCAGCTGCTGACTGTCCAGTCAAGGGTGTCCTGTTCCCCCCCCAGCTCAGGAGGCACCAGTAACCCATGCAATAAGCCTTTTGTGTAGATGCTCCCACCATATTAGTAGTAGGTGCATGCAGAGAAGGTAGGGACTCTAAATTGGGAAAATTTTAGTTTTAAAATGATGCCATCAATGTGAACTAAATGAGTTTAAAATGGGTTAAGAGCAGTTCCTTGTTCCTCTGTCAGTTATGGTTTTATGGTCACTTCCTGTTCTTTTAATACCATATGTATGGGGATATGCTGTAAACACATAAATAATAGTCACCGTGTTTTTGAAAGCCAGCATGAAGGAGAAAGTAATTGAAGTAACTGAGTAACAGCTATTAGGGAGTGAAGCCTGCTGCTGGCCCTGTGTCCTGGATGGGGCCAATGGACAAACCTGGCACACCAGGTTGTGGGGCTCCCTCTGGGTCTGGAAATTTGGCAGTGAAGAAATGGTGACAGTGTTAATTGCCATAGCTGTTAACACTGCCACCACTTCCTTGCTGCCAAATTTCTGGATCTGTAGAGATCCATATTTTTCACATATAATAATGTACAACTCAATTTCCATCAACTGGTTTGGGATGGAGGAGGAGGAATGTGCAGGTTATATGTAAGAAAATAGGTATTTTTTCCTCTTGTATGTAAATGACTATAAAAGTAAGAGCAAATGATACAGGTGAAAGTGAAATGGAGTCAATGTTTAAAGTTATTAAAATTAACTGCATTGGTGAGAAATGAAGCAGAATTTTTTTTCTTTAATTTTTAATATTAAGTCTCATTTTATATGAATACCACATGCTTCATTTTAGTATGGGTACTTTTTATATAAAAAGCTTGGGCATGTGCAAAGCATGATCATGAGGGCAGCCCCTAGATCACACTAGAATTTGTGCATGTGTTTAAGGTGATGGGGGTGGAATTAGTCCCTTGGACTTTAGGGGACACCATGAAAGGAGCAACTTTGTTCCATCTTGCTATTTTTTCAGCTTAGCCCTGTACCCCCCCAGCTAATTCTCCATTGCATCTCTAAAATTTGGTAAATTTCAGTACTAGTTGGATGACTTCTAGCTCCTTTAGTTGCTCTTTCAATTATGATTTTTGACTAAATGAGCATTAAATCTACATAGAAGCTTTTCTATGTCAGCACCACTTGTATACATTTTTATTTCATTTTACAGATGACTCTTTAAATCATCTTTGCCTTTCTTGTTATAGAACATAAAAACTAAAGATCAACAGGAGCTGAAACATTGAAATTTAAAAGAAAAACATCTATAAATTTAGACTCTGTTGTCCCTGTGTCCTCCCCCTTAGCCTATACTGTTTACTTATGGCTGGGGTGATATTGTTTGGTATGTTCATTGAATTTCCCATCTTTTTTTTTTTTTTTTCCCCTCCACAGATTGTGGGTCAATCCAAGAATGAACACATGTAAGAAACCTTACATTGAGCAGACTACAAACCTTGAAAAGTTTGACTCTGAGGTGGTTGCTGAAATTGAGGGCCTCTTTGAGAAGAGGTTCTCATATACTAAACCTCTGAATAATGAATGGCAACTACCAGATTCCAAAGATGCATTTATCTGCAATCACAAGGAATTTCATTCACTTCTTGCTATGAAAGACTCCATGAATAAAGTGAAAAACCAGCTGAGTGATAAGAAACTGGATGAATGGCATCAGCATACATCTTTCACCAATAAAGCAGGGAAAATCATTCCTCATGTGAAGAAATCTCTGAATGCTGAGCTATGTACTCAGGCATGGTGCAAATTCCATGAGATTTTATGCAGTTTTCCCCTTCTTCCAGAAGCAGCTCTTCAGAATGGAGAACTTAATACTGTCCATCTCTGTGAAGCACCTGGTGCTTTTATAGCCAGTCTTAATCACTATTTAAAATCCCATCACATCCCTTGCGATTGGAACTGGGTAGCCAATACTCTAAATCCTTATCATGAAGCAAATGACACTCTTATGATGATTATGGATGACCGTCTTATTGCAAATACTTTGCCATTGTGGTACTTTGGTCCAGATAACACTGGAGATGTCATGATGCTGAAACATCTAGAAGGACTTCAGCACTTTATAAGCAATATGGCTACAGTTCACTTGGTCACTGCTGATGGGAGCTTTGACTGCCAAGGAAATCCAGGTGAACAAGAAGCCCTTGTTTCTCCTCTACATTACTGTGAAGCAGTCAGTGCTTTGAGGATACTAGGCAGTGGTGGCTCCTTTGTTTTGAAGATGTTTACTTTGTTTGAACATTGTTCTGCGAACCTGATTTTTCTGCTAAACTGTTCCTTTGAGGAGGTTCACATCTTTAAACCTGCCACCAGCAAAGCTGGGAACTCAGAAGTGTATGTGATATGTCTTCATTACATGGGCAGAGAGGCAATTCATCCCCTTCTGTCCAAGATGATACAGAACTTTGGAAAAGACATGGTCAGTAAAGCACTTTTCCCTCAACATGTAATTCCAGAATCTTTTCTTAAAATACATGAAGAATGCTGTGCATTCTTTCACAGGTACCAAATAGAGACTATCTATGAGAACATTGGACTTTTTGAGTGCATGGGGGAAGTGGAACAAACAAAACTGAACAACTTACGGGACTGTGCAGTAGAATTCTTCATGAAAAAATTCAACATGAAACCCATTGCCAGAAATAAATGGCTAGTGAAGAAACCTCAGGCAGGTTGCAGTATGAATACAAAGTGGTTTGGACGGAGGAACAAGTATTTTAGTACCTACAATGAAAGAAAGATGCTAGAGTCCCTTACATGGGAAGATAAAGTGGCAAAAGGTTACCTTAACCATTGGGCTGAAGAACATGTTCTAAGTAATGTTGGGAAAAGCTGTATTTTGGAAGGGTCATCCTCTAACCTTGAGTGCAGCTTGTGGTATATCTTGGAGGGAAAGAGGCTTCCAAAAGTAAAATGCTCTCCATTCTGTGATGACGAAGTCTTGAAAGACCTCAATGAAGCCATCGGGGAATCGCTAGTAGGCAGACTGAAAACAAATTCCCTATCCAGACAAGTGCAGCAGTCTTGTCAATCTTGCCATGTTGTCACTGATGCAGTTATACTATCTGAATTGTCTAATCTTACCAAGTGCCATGAGGAAGTTCCAAATGAAAGCTGTGGTGACCACATCAAGTGCCTTGTGATGGGCCTTCCACTTCTTTGTGATGCCAAAAGCCAATCTAATGTGGAGATTAGTTTTCTGGACTCAGCCACGCTATTGACTTTCACCTGTTCTTTGCTTCATGATGGAGAGCCAAAATATCAGCAGCAGCTCCTAGATCATGTTCTACTCTCACTGAAACAGCTTCAAACAGGAGATGCTTTTATTTTACCTATTCTTTCTTGCTTTACGCGCTTCACAGCTGGCCTAATTTTTGTACTGCAAAGCTGTTTCAGATGCATCACATTTGCTTGCCCCATATCCTTTGAGCCTCTAAGGACTAATGCGGTTCTGTTGTGCATTGGCTATCAGGGTCTTCCAAATCCAGTTGCTGAGTATTTGCAGCATCTGAATGAACTAATGAGCTCTTTGCTGGACTCTGACTCTTCCCAGCAGGTTTTGCAATTTGTCCCAATGGAGACTCTCCTAAAAGGCACATTACTGGACTTTTTGTGGGACTTGAACACTACAATTGCAAAGCGACAACTCCATTTGATTATACAAGTTGAGCAGCAACAAATGATCAGTAATCTTAATTTTAAATGATTCTAGAATTGAGCAGGTAGCTATTGACTGAGAAGATTCAGTTCATTGGCCGTTTAAAGTT